GTTCATTTCAACGTGTAAAAATAGTATCAATATATCGTTGACCGAGGAGCTCGAGATAGTAACTTTAAACTGTTGAGTAAAAATAATATTACATGCGTATCGCAGCATGCAAATTATCGAATTGCCTGCTAATTCCGGAAAATTCAAGCCCGGCAGCACCGACGCACCCGATGTGTGCGCAGTTGAAGTTTGGATCGGCAACGAGAGAAGCTCTGCCAAATTTATTTCTGTGTTTCTATGTGTCAAATGTGAAATATGTACATTTACCGGATGATTGAGATTTTATGAGTGAGCAAAAACTGTTTTTGAGAATATCAGTGATTATTTTTCATTCCTGAAGCTGTTATGTGAAGTAGTATGTCACTTGGTCAAGATGGGCGCCTCTAAGCCAGCGACATATCACAGAATATCTGTTGTATATTAATTATTTGTTCAATCCATTCGTTTGATTTGAATCAACTAAGTAAATCAACCAGTGCAGCGTCATCTCACAGCGATAATTGTCGTGAGCTAGATCTAGTAGTTTCTGTTTTGCCCTAAAAATAGAATTCTTGCGGAAAATGCTTTGTAATTGCTAGTTGCTACAGATGATCATTTAATCATCGCAAATTGATTTAGCTTCTTTTTTAGCTAATGCGTGTCAAGTTATCTTTGGTTGTATGGGAATATCGTCGATTTGAGAATGAATGGGATTGTCAGAAAAGCTGCCGTGCTGTGAAGTTAAATGATCTAGTTCCTTCTAAATACTGTGTTCCATATTTTGCAGGTATCGTATTCCTAGTAGTAAAAGCTATTCATTAGAAAAGCATTGGAAAGTCCACGTTCGTCTTTCTAGAATCTAGAGCCTCAAAGACCGTAAGTTAAAGAACCTGCTAATTTACCCTGTGCCATGTTAATTACCGTGGTCAGCCAGTTTGGAAACTAGGCCAGTAACCTAGTAGTAGCTAATTACCATTAGCAGTCGGCCTGCATGTAAAAGGTGCCTGTAACCTAGTACTCTAGCAGTAGCCTGCCTCTGTCAGATCCTCAAAAGGTCACCTTTTTATTGCTAATGTTGAATAATTAAATCTGTCGGAATCATTTGTGGTCGGCTAGATGTAATCCCTCTACCGTTCATTATTGCCCGCTCCATTCTATGTGCCTTATATAATGATGCTATAAGCTATGAAATCAGTTAGGGTCATGATCGAGACAGACCGATGAGATTAATTAGATTAAGTATAGAGTACGATTGACCTCGTGTCTTGAATGTTGCTTTCGCTTGAAATTAGGCATCTCCCTTCTGGAACTGTGTTCATAAAAGTAATTATCGTCCTATATGACCATGGGGTTTGTCTTGTCTTATTCGATGAGTTATCGGTGTGCTGCGCGTTTCAACGATTCACACCGCAATCATGGTGTTTCGTATGTTCGATTTAAAGCAGCTCCCTTCTGGAACTGCGTTCATTAAACTAATTATCATTCTATTATCTCGGTTTCTTGTATGTCCACACTCGTATAGAATCCTGTACCTGCAGGTTTCGACGCCGAAATATAAGGAAACACTAATCAAGTCTGCGAACTTCATTTCCCCTTTATTAAATCGTGCGTCACAAAGCTCCCGAACTAAGTTGATTACTTTAGGAGCGGAACATTAAGAACTGATATTTCTAAAAGAGATTTTAAAAATTTGCGGTTTACACCGATCACAAGATCATTAACCAACCAATCACAGTGACTTTACGGTGTTACGCCTCCTTCAGAGTGTTACACCTAGCTTTTACCTCCGGTACTTCAGATTTGCGTATTTTAGAATCCTTGTACATTTTTAAACTGAGGCCTAGTTTGAATTCAGCTGTTAGCACATATCCCTCGAAATTGTAAATAGATGGGTTTTGTGCTGTCTACTATTTGTAAATTTAGGTTTTTAATTGCGTTCTGTTCTTTCAATTGTATTAATTTGTGACTTTCTATATGAAATCTAGATTCTACGAACTGGCGATTGAGCTGGACTCCGAAACGTTTTCCATAAAGATATGAATTTATGTGGACTATTCTTTGTTTTTTTTTAATTTTTAATATATTCATTCAGTGACCGAATTCATTTTTGAGTTACGTCTTTTTGACCAAATTCTAAATAATTTGAAATAAATTCCCAATGAATTTTCAAAACAAATTTTGTTTTATTCGGAAGTGTTCCTCAAAAAAGGTTGCAGATAACTAGAATACTCGTAACATGAAAGTCATTTTAATGCAAAGCTAGAAATTCAGTTGATATAATTCCAGAGACCGACATTTTGTTCCAAAGGGACTTACGTAATAAAGTTATACTGGATATGAGCTTTAGATGATGCCACAAAACTGCATTTAATTGAAGGCTGCAGAGGCCATGGTTAGTTTAGTCATATATGAGATTCGAAGCATCGCACCACAAATGCATGGGCTGACAGCCAGTCGTATTTACACGGCTGAATAGCACAGTATAAGTTATACAGTATACAGTATAGTTATGAGGCATGTAGTATAAGCTGCGCGTTTTTACTGTCGAGTGATGAAATATAATAAACCACAAACCATTTGCATCTCATTAATTTGTTACATTTTAACAAGTGACCTTCCTCCTTGCTAAGATGAACGCTCGTGATATCAGAGAGAAGAGATTAACACCTATCCTCTTCTTGGAATGGGAATGGTTGCATAAGAATTTTATTCGTCTGTTCACTTCGAACGACAAATTCTATTGAAGCACAATAATCAATAGAACGTATTAATACACAGCTACGTGAATATTTATTTTCTTCTATTGAAGCTCTTAGATTTGAGTGGTACTTCTTCTCTGCTGTTGTACTTCCCTAAGTCTGCGGCCAACATTCTGTCCGTATTACTGTACAACTTGTAATGGGAAGAACAGAAACACATCAATGCGGCGATGATGTTTATTGGTAAAACACACGAAAACTTTAAGAAGGCAGGTGAGGAAGACGTGAAATACTAGCTCTATTTCCACAGCAAAACTCAACAGCGTTAGTTCTTTAACAGCGTTGAAATCTGCCATTAGTAGAGCGCGTGATGCCGGGTGATGGAACACTAGGTGGAACACTCGTCTGAACACACTCGTCTGAACACACTCGTCTGAACACACTCGTCACAACACACTCGTCTGAACACACTCGCCTGAACACACTCGTCTGACTCTGTCAGATCCTCAAAAGGTCATCTTGTTATTGCTTATATTGAATAATTAAATCTGTCGGAATCATTTGTGGTCGGCTAGATGTAATCCCTCTCCAGTTCATTATTGCCCGCTCCATTCTATGTGCCTTATAATGATGCTTTAAGCTATGAAATCAGTTAGGGTCATGATCGAGACAGACCGATGAGATTAATTAGATTAAGTAGAGTACGATTGACCTCGTGTCTTGAATGTTGCTTTCGCTTGAAATTAGGCAGCTCCCTTCTGGAACTGTGTTCATAAAAGTAATTATCATCCTATATGCGCATGGTGCTTTGTATGTTCGATTTAAAGTAGCTCCCTTCTGGAACTGCATTCATTAAAGTAATTATCATTCTATGATCTCGGTTTCTTGTATGCTCACACTCGTATAGAATCCTGTACGTGCAGGTTTGGACGCCGAAATATAAGGAAACACGGATCAAGTCTGCGAACTTCATTTCCCCTTTATTAAATCGTGCGTCACAAAGCTCCCGAACTAAGTTGATTACTTTAAGAGCGGAACATTAAGAACTGATATTTCTAAAAGAGATTTTAAAAATTTGCGGTTTACACCGATCACAAGATCATTAACCAATCACAGTGACTTTAGGGTGTTACGCCTCCTTCAGAGTGTTACACCTAGCTTTTACCTCCGGTATACTCCAGATTTGCGTATTTTAGAATCCTTGTACATTTTTAAACTGAAGCCTAGTTTGAATTCAGCTGTTAGCACATATCCCTCGAAATTGTAAATAGATGGGTTTTGTGCTGTCTATTATTTGTAAATTGAGGTTTTTAATTGCGTTCTGTTCTTTCAATTGTATTAATTTGTGACTTTCTACATGAAATCTAGATTCTACGAACTGACGATTGACCTGGACTCCGAAACGTTTTCCATAAAGATATGAATTTATGTGGAACATTCTTTATTTTTAATTTTTAATATATTTATTCAGTGACCGAATTAATTTTTGAGTTACGTCTTTTTGACCAAATTCTAAATAATTTGAAATAAATTCCCAACGAATTTTCGAAACAAATTTTGTTTTATTCGGAAGTCTTCCTCAAAAAAGGTTGCAGATAACTAGAATACTCGTAACATGAAAGTCATTTTAATACAAAGCTTGAAATTTAGTTGATATAATTCCAGAGCCCGACATTTTATTCCAAAGGGACTTACGTAATTAAGTTATTCTGGATATGAGCTTTAGATGATGCCACAAAACTGCATTTAATTGAAGGCTGCAAAGGCCATGGTTAATTTAGTCATATATGAGATTCGAAGCGTCGCACCGCAAATGCCTGGGTTGACAGCTGTCTCTTATACACATCTAGATGTGTATAAGAGACAGGAACACACTCGTCTGAACACATTCGTCGGAACACACTCGTCGGAACACACTCGTCAAAACACACTCGTCTGAACACACTCGTCGGAACACACTCGTCAAAACACACCCTATAATTAGACTTTTCTATGTCGGTTAATTTTAACAAGCTCTCATGATCATGCTTGGCCGAGTAAACTTTTGTTGAACAGCATTTGATGTCTCGGATTACACTGAACACCAACTGGCTTCGCACATCAGAAACAAGCGACTCAATGGCAGCGCTACAGGTTCATCGACATAAAAGCTATGAAACTGCAATGCCTGCTATACCCTCGCTAGTTCTTAGTGTCAGAACGTATCCATGTTGGCAGCCAGAAAACTGCAGTGTCTGCTAGACCCTCGCTAGTTCTTAGTGTCAGAACGTATCCATATTGGCAGCCAGAAAACTGCAGTGTCTGCTAGACCCTCGCTAGTTCTTAGTGTCAGAACGTATCCATATTGGCAGCCAGAAAACTGCAGTGTCTGCTAGCTCCTCGCTAGTTCTTAGTGTCCGAACGAATACATACTGGCAGCCAGAAAACTGCAGTGTCTGCTAGCTCCTCGCTAGTTCTTAGTGTCCGAACGAATACATACTGGCAGCCAGAAAACTGCAGTGCACGTCTGCTAGCTCCTCGCCAGTTCTTAGTGTCAGAACGTATCCATATTGGCTCAGCAAAAAATAAATCCCGTCAACTCATTGACGAGACAGAATAATGCATCATATCTCAGCATGGAGAAATATTTCCTCCTGAAGATAAAATCTGAATAGGCTATAGGTAACTTAGAATTGTTGACAAATGGGAACCGTAAGAATGCCCATGAAATATTTCATTCTTCAAGCAAGGCTTAAATTTCAAGAAAAATCGAGAAAATGGTGTGTTGCAATGACAGCCTCAACACTGCTTCAGGGATGTGTTGGGGCCGATGCAAAGGGCTGCAATACAAGTATTTGCATCCTTGCAATCAATCCCATAAAGAATGTCATAAAGGGGGGCATATACAGCACAGTTTTTGCCGGGTTCGGGTTCGCCTACATAACGAATAGTATTATTCTGGCCGTTGGGAAGCCAGATGTAGTAGCCCCCTTCTCCACGTTGCGTGTTGATCCAGAAACCTGTTAATCATAGAAATTGATTACTTAGACTGGTCTCTTATTGTTATTTTTTAGTTATAATTAATTCAAAATTAGTATATAAAATGGATGGAAAAGACAGATGGAAGTCGAGTTGCATGATTTAAAAGTGTCTGTGGTGGTAGCGCGGTACCTCATGAAAAGAAAGTAATACAACATGAGTGGCCAGAAATGGAAAAGAAGCTGGATACGTGAATAGGCGCTCAGAGCATAATTAGGTTGTCTGAAGGTGTATGGGTTGGTTTGAGAGGCGAAAGGAACCCGTAAGGGCTCTTCAAGGTTTGCGCGGAGGATGAATGGGAGGATGACGGTTCATGGTTTACATTATGTACATATTCGAGTACTATTAGGTAAAAAAAGCTTATGTGCACTCTCCACATACATGAGTTTTGTATTTTAAAAATATTTTAGTGTTTTATTATTTTTTTCGAAAGGAATGATATGATGAAGGTGAGGGCGATGATGTGGTGATGATGATGTGGGTGGTTTCTGAGGTAAGCGAGTCACGCGATACTCATGAGGGTGGTTGGGTAGGCAGCAGTTATGTTGATAAAAAGCGTATAATCTCGTCATTAATGATTCATTCTCGGTGTGTTTCGTCAGTCAGTAAACAGAATATAGATACCTGCACTATTACGCGTCCATTTATAACTGACTTACAAGTGCGGCATGTTCCGTCGTGTAGATGCTTTTGGTTTGTGTGAGTAGTGGATATGTGTACATGGGTAGAGGTGGGGGCCAAGTGCTTGAAATTTGGAACTTTCGAATCGCTGGTGCTATAATAATAAATAATAATAATAGCGGTTTCAGCGTTTATTAGGCAGTAGGCCTGTCGCCAATTCTTAACATCACAGAACATTCACAGCATTTTGCGGTCTCGAACTCGCAACTCACTGCTACAATTTTGCTGTGCTTAACCGCCCGGCCTCCTCGCCGATTCTGACCAGAAACTGGCGCACAGAGCTGGGATCGAACCCGTGCCTCTCTGCGTCAATCTTGGTACACTGAACTTTAACCACTGGCCACCCTGCCCAGTGCTGTTTGTAATGTCATTACTCATTAGTAAGAGAGCTAGTCGATTGAAGTGCTTTGGGTGATTTAGTTTAATGGCGGACCAGGTTTTACGCGCTTCTTGAAGGAAGACCGTGTTTATGGTGGGGTTCCAACATTGTTCATAGTGCTCCTTAGGGTATGAAGTCGTACCGTTGTGTGTTTGTGATGATTATTAGTGCTTACTAATAACTTAACAGTAAAAAAATCCACAAAAATTCATACTATTCTGATAAAAAACGCTTTGGAGTCCAGCTCCATAGTCAGTTCGAAAATTCTAGAACACAGGTAAATCAGTAATAGTTAAGTAAATATTACAAAAAATTTAACCGGTAAAACCTATCTATTTACAATTTCAAGTGGGTAAAAGCTAAAAGCTGAATTTAAACTAGGCCTCTGTTTAAAAATATAAAATGATTCTAAATGCGCAGATCGGAAACACCGGCAGTGAGAGCTAAACCCGTCACTATCAGAAATTTGAACATCACACTGCTCGGCGAGAGGGTGCACAGCCGAATGAGGGTGGAGCAATAGTAAGTGATCAGTTCTAGAACTCCTCCCTCTATGTTCTGCGACCCTAGAATAAAGATTGCGAGAAGTTATCCAGAGGTACGCAGATCCATATCGTGCGTAACTCTGATTATAAACTATGGGCGCTCGCATTTGAATAGGGAAGATATCATTGTACCTAAAAAAATAACCGGTTAAAAATTGTTCACCAATAATACACGAAGATTAACATTTAGGAAGTACTTTGAGAATGAAAGTTTTAGCTCCCTTGACATAGTTTCGGATGCAGGGCTGAGGTAGGAAAGAGAGCAATAAACAACATTCCTACTGTCGCGCTCGGGAGCAACCTCATTGTACTGCTTGGACATGAATTTCTTTATTTGGGTATATACAAGATTAGTCGGAAATCCATTAAGCGAGAAGATATTTCGTGAAAATTTGAATTCAGCGTGCAGAGCATGGTAAGTAGAATAAATACGAAAGCCCTGATTTAAAAGTGTTTGAAGACCATTAATCTTAAATAGAAACGAACAAAGCTAAAAAATTAGATCAATACTCACTGCAGTGAGTGTCAGAGAGCGCATTTTCTCGTGCATAAATCATTTTCATTGCGATTAGTACAGCCTCTATAGTGTCCCACGCATATAGTGATTGTGAGGGCACGGACGGGCGGACGGACATGACGAGCACAATAGTGCCTTTTTTCCATAAATGAGAAATTGTGCTAAAAAGCTGGTACTGAGACTTGTGCAGGGCGATTTTCGGAAAACAAAAGTTTTAATGTGGCCATTAGATTTAGTAATATTGCAATCGAGGAAGGACAGACTATTGTTAGATTCAAGCTCCATGGTGAATTTGATGGATTAATGTTGCAAATTTAGGTAATCGAAGAAGAGTTTGACGTAAGAGGTTTGCTTAAAAATTAAAAAAGTGTCATCAATGTATCTGTTGTAGAATATTGGCTTAAAATCAAGAGGGCAATTGGACAGCCAAGAAACCTCGCGAAAAGCATAAAAATCTTCGCAAAGGTTTGGCCGAGCGAAAGACCCATGCCCAAACCGTCAATCTGTTGGTAAAACTTGTCAGAAAATATGAAAAAAGAGCTTAGAATAGATAATTCTTGAAGAGATTTTAAAAATTACGCTTCAAACCTATAACTAGGTCTGTTACATCCTGAAACAAAGAATTCAGGCAAATTTCAATGGTTTCATGAAGAGACCCATTAGTAATCAAATTTTTTTCGTTAAAAGAGGCCATAGTTAGGTCCTGAACGTCGGTAAAATCCCCTAGGCGGTTTACAAATGTTTAAGAATTGTTTGCAGTATACCACTTGTTACTCGAGAGACAGTTTAAAACCGGTACCAAGAACTTGGCAAGTTTATAACTAGGCGTATGGTATGCGGCAAAAATTGTCCGAAATTTAAACTTAGAGGCAAAATCAGACTTATGAATGTTGAGCAAACCATATAAAATATAAGGTCGCAGAACATTTATTCTAGGGTCGCAGAACATTGAGGGCGGAGCTGTAGAACTGCCAGCGTTAATTTCATGTCTTATGTATTTATTTTCCGTTTTGAAACCTGACAGTGCATTTTACTTTACTAATTGATTGTATTTGTGTTTCTAGGACTGAACTTCTGAACAGAATTTTGTGTTATGAACTGACGATGGGGCTACACTCCGAAACGTTTTCTCTTATAAAGATATGGTGAATTTTTGTGGTATTGTCTTTGCTTTCCTGGTAAGAATTTCAAACTATACACAATGTACGGCCCAAGACATATTAGGTAGATCACAACTCACTACTTTGGGCTGTTTGATTTTTGGCGTACTGCTGAATATCGGGGTTGGCCTGCAACTCGTAGGACGCCAGCTGCAAACCGAGGGCCTCGCACCGAGTCTTGGCCTCGCAGTACGAAAGGTATTCTTCGTCGTCAGGAGGATTACTTCTCATCGCAACCTCGACGCAATGTCCGGCTATTATTTTATTGCAGCAAGTCAGCTTCTGCGGCATCAGTCCATGGTTGTACGTGGTATTCTTAGCATCTGAAAATAAGTCAAATTAATCATTCATTTATCGCGGGTGTTACCTACCCAGATCAGGCCGCGAAAAATAAAATCCGCGATTCAGAATTTATCAGCTGATAGTACTTATTCAAGTATTTACGTAGTAATTACATAGTAAGTTATCATTGTTTTACGAGTTTATATAATAATTTAATTATAAGTTTTTGTATATTTTTTCGCACCATTTTAGATTATTTTTTCCAGACACCAACCGACCAACTTCTTCAGAATCCCTGTAACCAGCAAAAATACGCGAATGATTATTCCCATTGATATCACTGGTCAACAGAGAAAATAAATGTGGTTCTGAAATCATTTTGTTTGGGTCGAAAAGCATTTTTGCTGCTAATTTCGTAACTGGCGTTGTTTTTTTCTAGCACGTCTAGTTTTTTTTTAAATATTTGCATTCTTAAGTATAATATCTAAAATAATTTTATATGTATAAATATTGGTAGTATTTGAACGAAACGAATCCCCTTCTAAACGAATCCCCTTAAATAATTTAAATTACTTGTAATTAGATGTTTTTGATGCCTGAGGCTATATTGTGAGGAGTTGTTATGGAGAACAAACGTGATTATCAACATTCTGATGGATGCTGTTGTGTCAGTCAGGTAACCTGAATGTGTTTTTTTTGTGAATGGAATAGAATAGAATTGTCGTCGCTGAAGAAATAGGCCCTGTAGCCAACTCTTGTACTTTTCGTGACTTGGTTCTAAGAGGGATCCGGTGCTATAGGCATTTCAAGACTGAACATATGCTCCTGCAAAGCTTCGTCTAGTCTGTTCTTGAAGGCGTTCATACTCGGAGCTTCTACGATGCTATCAGGGAGGCTGTTCCACATGTCGGTGACTCGAAGCGAGAAGAAATGTTGTCGCATGGATGTGTTACAACGCAGTATTTAGTTTATAGCCGTGGCCCGAGGTGCTGGTTCCTGTTTCAAATTCTAGGACTCCTTCTGGGACCTTGTATAAACCGTTGGTATACTTGTATACTTCAATGAGGTCCCCACGTAGACGTCGATAACTGAGGCTTGGAAGCTTCATAATCTTCAATCTTTCATCATATGGCTTGCCTTTTAATCCCGGAATTATCCTTGTTGCATGTCTTTAAACACTCTCGACTAAATTTTTGACACTTTCTAGATTTGGTGACCACACGGCATCTCCAAAATCTAGGATCGGGCGCACGACAGCGACAAACAACAGCTTCATCGCTTCTGCATCTGGGAGCTCGCAAGAGTGTCTGATCAGTCAAAGTCATTTATTGGCTATATTAACTTGAGCTTCAATATGATAAGAAATTTTCAACTCATTGTCGACATTAACCCATAAGTCTTTTTCCATTGTAGACTTCGAAGTCGTCACTGTCGTTGCAACCGTGTCTTCTCATACTGTAATCTTGCTGAACTTTGTTCTTGCCAAGGTGGATTACTTTACATTTGTCAGCATTAAACGCAGCTGTCACATTTCTCCCAGTCCACTAACCTGTCAAGATCAACTTGCAACTGTAATTCATTGTAAACAGATCGGGGGAGATAACTCAGATAAGTAGAGGTCTTGTATGTCTTCCATTTTCTGACTATAGCTCTCAGCGTAGATTTATTCCCACCAAGCTGCTTGCCTATTGCAGATTCAGTCTTCTCAGCCTGATGTAGGTCTTCAATTCGATTTCTGTTGTCCTCCGATAACTCTTTTCATCTTCACTATAGTGGAGTTGCGAGTGTGACTGTTTGAGGTTTTGGGTAGGTGTCATTTATACTGTTAACGACTTCAAACGAGGTTCCATTAATACGGGTAATGAGTGGGGGAAATTGAAGTCTCTTTTGCTTGTTTTTAGGAGACCAAATACTTATTTTCCACCATTATTTGCAAATGAAGTCCGATAAAATGACTGTCTCATTTTTTCATGTTTTGTCTCTCATAGTTTAGGTCTACATATGATGTCAATTACAGGCCTCTCTCATCTCTTTAAGTGGGAAAACTTGCACAATTGGTAACTGACTAAATATTTATTTTCCCCACTGTATGTGAGTGTTGTGGAATGCCTTCTGTTGCTTATAACATAACATGACAAAACATAGTGATGTCGGCGCTGAAGAGTAGGCCTGATGTGGCCTGTCGCCGATTCTTGTACTTTTCATGACTTGTCCACAGGAGATCTGAAAACAGGTCCTTCGACCGGATCTTTTCCAAACTGACGATTGTTTGAAATAGCTACTAGATTTCCACTGGGTTCGATATGTAGGTCTGTTGAATTTTAGTTTTTGCGTCGCAAGTAGTATAGACGATTATTTTGTAAGAGTCCAGGTAGTTAACCGAGAGAATCAGTCCAAAGTTCTTTGTCCTCATTTCGTCACAGTACCAGGTGCTGTGAGGGACTTCACGGATTGGGTTGAGGTCATTGTCACTCCTAAACAGTCTAACGAATATTTTTTCGTTGAGACCTGGCATTAAGATAGGCGATTTGTTGTACTTCTCGTCACTTATTTGTCGTTTTCTATAATCGTGCTAGGCGGGCGGTGTGCGCTTCTAGTATAATTGCAGGCAATTTTATTTGAGCTGTATTGGTTGGTCTGTTGACTTGCATGTTTGGCTCTTGATGATGTTGCTTATGCCTGATGATGACTTGCTGCTGTGGGTGATGAGAATTGGAGAGTGAGGGCCGATGTGGGTACATTTTCGCGGATTACTAGTGTGTGTAATTGTCTTCCTATATGGTTGTAGAAGCTGTTTCCTAGTGTTTGTTTTTATGTCTGTAAGTAGGTAAACGAGATGGGGACCTGTTAAAGAGTTGTTAGACGTCTGTATAGTTGATGTGGTCTGTACGTGGTGAGTTGTGCGTTGCTCATGCAGTGATGGCGGCGTCAATTGTAATTGAGAGCATTTCAATGTGAAAATTTTCTTGAAGTTTGCAAGATATGAGTCTCCTATAATGGCTAGGACAGAACCGGAGTGTGGGGTGCTGTCATTATTGTAGCTACTCGTAAGTACCTTGTAGTTGAATACTTCAAGAGTGGTGTTGTCATCCGTCCGTCGTGGCTTTGCATCCGTCGTTGTGGTATTTTTTGTGGTGTTAGTGCATTGGGTATAAGTGCGATCTTATAGGCGGCGCATTCGGAGCAAGTGGGAGTGGGGATGCGGATTGGTGTGAAGGTGGTCTTCTATTTTGTAACACTTTAAACTAATAAGTAGGTTGTGTACTGTTCCTGTTCGCATCGTGAGAGCGTTATTTTAGTGTTTTACATTCAAAGTACGTTTGTATGTATATATGGGGCTATTGTAGTGCCTGTGGTTACGATTTTCATTATTCGAGTGTAGCGCTTATTTTTTATTATGTCCTGTATGTGTAGTTAGTTTTATTGTGTAGTTATTTCATGTTTGATTTCGTCGGTGGTGCGGCTTCCTACATCTCTGTAAAGCTGTCGTACAAAAATGTTTCGAGCAGTTTTAAGGTCAGGGGTATACGATAAAAGTTATGTTGATTTTATGAAAATGCATCTACAGCTTTTTCGAAGTAAGCTTGTCAATTGCAGTCGCGTCATTAGTTGTGGCGTAAAATCAGGTGGCCGAGCCTGTGAATCAAATTAGTGGGGCATCAAGTTCGTTAAAAGTCGTAGGGACATTTTTTAGTAAATCAGTCGGTATTCTGACGACAATTTTCTTGAGTTGGACAAGTTGGTTCTGAGGGTGAGGAGGGTCCAAAAACGGTGGAGAGGAAGAGAGGGGAAGAGGGAGCGAAATTACAGGTAATTGGTTTTCATGCATTTCTATGTTCAAAAGAATTTTTTAAGCAGAGTCACGGTTAAGAATATGTCACACTTTCCTAGTGACACTCGTTTACTTCGCAGAGCTGGCTGATCCGTCAGGTGTAGAGAAAGCGCCATTGAACAGTACTACATAAGTAGCCCCGGAGGGCCCCCGGTTGGTCTAAATTAAATCATATCCGTACACACATTAAATCTAAAATAGTTTCATCATTCTGCAGTCAGCTCACTGACCATTGAAGACGTGACCTGTGTTGTTGCTGTTGCTGAGGATGCACCCGTCAGACGAGGACTCGTTGTAGAAAAGGAAGGTGTCTCCGACCAGATCTCCTGGAACTGTAAACATAAGTAGTTCAATACGTTGTTCTCCAACAGGCGCCGTGGAGCTGAAATTAGAGGCCATGCATTTTGTTGTAATTTTTTTATAATGATATGGATTTAAAAAATCGTCTCGAGCATCAAGCGAGAGGGATGAAGACTATTAGAATTGTTTAAATACCTGGTAAATTTTTTGCTGGTTACTTGGTTTCTAATAAATTTAAATTCAACATCGCTGCAGGTTCAACGGCAAGGGGTCGGCTTCCCATAATTCAAATTAAATAAACGAAAAAATGTTATTTAGTGTGGGCGTCAGACGTTAAGAAATCTCGAATCAAAAAAGTTAAGCAGCTCGTGTAGTTTTATTAGCAAACATTAAAGTCAGTGGTTGGCCTTTCATAGGAGGACGGTGGTCATTCAACCACAATTCGCTGTATCTTACTTTTTTACCGTGTATACCTGATACCAGTTCTAAGTTAACACCCTCTTCACAATAATATTATAAGTAAAAGGGCATAGCGTCACATGTTATATTTTGAAGTCTTTGCTGGATCGTGTGCTTGTGTTCGGTTTCCTAGATAACATGGATAACACCGTCATACACAATCTGCTCCTGCCTATTGTGGCTTTACTCTTATTTCACTTGAGATTCAAAAATTTAGAATAAGAGATTTGAGATTCAAAAATTTTTACGAGGACACTAAATTTACAATGAACAATTACGTAGACAACATACGAGGCGTCATGACGTAGACAACTTACGAGGCGTCATGACGTAGACAACTTACGAGGCGTCATGACGTAGACAACTTCAGCAGGCGCGTCACCGCAGTCCTGCTCGTCGTTCTCGACGCCGTACACTATCCTGCCGCTGGCGTAGCAGGAGCCGTTGATCTTGAACATGGGAGCGTCTAAGGAGGAACGATTGCGTGAGTCAAACTCACATGAAGAAACTATTATTATTCACTTTCATGGAAATCTAACAGACTTGAATTGATATAACATCCTGATTACTGAAATAGAATAAAATTACAAGAATCAAACATTCGTATACTGAACATATACGAATTAAAAATACTTAAAGGCACAATTAATCTAATAAAACACATAATATAGTGTTTTATAAAACACATTAATTAATAAAACAATATAATCTAAAATAATGAAAACTGGCATGCATACAGCATACTTGAATCAAACTTAAGTGGATACGACGAGCCTGAATACAACATGCATGAATAAATTCTACATAAATGTAACATACAATAATAAAATATGCCTCAGTCACACATACATAAAGTTATTTGAATACAATTCTGATGAATCGAATTCATTTGGATCATGTACATTGAATCAGGAATATTTTGTTGAAACGCACATCCAGTAAACGAAATTTTATCCAACCAAACTCTCATATGTTGAACAAAGTTCAAATAAACATCGCGCAACAAACTCAGATGAATCAAGCGTGTACAAACCAGCTTTTACTATATAAAATCAAATATTTATATCATATATATTTGAATCAAATTTAAATTAATCAAACTTATATATGCGGCTGAGGCATATGCCAATCATTGACAAATTAAGCAGACTTAAATACAACTTTGGGGGCACTCATTTTAAAACTTATTTGAATCAACTATATGTAACTGAAGTAATATTTATGAACAAAATTTCGTCAATAAAGTTTGAAGATAATTCACTACATACAAATATGAAATAACCCTAATCTTTTTCGCGGAAATTGTGCCCGGGGTCAATTCAACTCACTTCTCGCAAAAGCGGCTGCCGAGCAGGCGATGATGTCCGTCGATGCGCCGCTGCTGTTCAGCTTCACCCAATCAACAGCAAGCAAATTCTTGGGGGCAAATCTGATGTATTCTTTGCCGCCTCCGAGGTCAATGGAGAACAGGTCGCCCGTGACGGTGTTGGCGAGAGCGGCGCACGTCGCGAACAAGTTGCTCTTGACGCCACCATCGATCATAAACTGTGAAGCAGGTTCAAGTTCAGGGACAGTAAACAAGTCATGATCAATCAGCAATCAGGCAAGAACAGAACAAAAAATGTACAACTGTTGTACAAAAGCAGTGTAACAGGGTGATGGTTATTTTATGGTTGTGTCTATCCGTGGTATAAGGAAGGTGTCGTGAGGGAAGATGTTGATTGTGGATTTGTTGAACGTAATTTTGTCTCTCATCTCAAATCATCAATTCTTTTGGAGGAGTCTAGGTCTTTCAGCGAGAGCTTCGGTACGAATTCGTTCTTTCTCAGTTCCTCAAGGTACGAGCTGTTGTGAGAGACAGCGGGATTGGGTAGGGGTCACTGTTGCATCTAAATAGTCTAAGAGCTATTGATCCATCTAGTTCCGGCATTGAAATGGGTAATTCTCCGTTTTGATCGTCACTAATTCTTCATTTTCTAGGGTCGCGTTCTTCGTAATGAATTTTGGTTGTCAAGAAGACAGGGACATTCTGAAGGATCTCGTCAAATGTCTGCCCTTCTGCTAAGTTTAGTGATGCGTCGTCGCCTCATGTCGGCGTCGTCAATAAATTCTGTTTGGAGGTTGAAGTTGGTGTCCGGAGTGTCGGTCTCAGGTTGTTTGCAAAAAAGTTTAATATTTTGGCGGAGTCTCTGTCGTAGTTGGTCTTCAATGATTTACACAATGATAGTATGTAGTATGCTGTCGCACCCCTCCTATCGAGAGAGGCTGGCGATATGTGCTTCGAGTACTTTGCTGTCAGTTTTACTTATGTCTTGTTAGTCAGCGTCAGGTTATGTCGAGGTATGTTGTTTGTTTGTTGGATCGCTTGTTTTGCTGTGCATACATATATTTAATTTGTGTTGTTTTTGATTGTTTCTTGTTGTGATTGCAGTTTGCATTATATTTTTTGTTAACTGTAGGGACGGTTTGCGGCTAGAATGTGGCAGTTTAGACATTTCTTGTAGGTGTTAGTGCATTGGCGATTGGCGGCTCATTCAGAGCAAGAGGGAGTGGTCATCTATTTTGTAGCATTTATACCAGATGAGTAGGTGTGTGTAGTATTCTTGTTCGCATTGTAATGTTTTTAGTGTTGTACATGTAAATTCCATTTGTGAGTTTGCGTTGGGCTACTGTGGGGTTTGTGGCAATTATTTTGATGAAGTTGGTGCAGTGTTTAATTTTAATGACGTCCTGTGTGTGTAACAAAGTCTGTTGAATAGCAATATCATGTTTGATTTCGTCAGCGGCGTGGTTTCCTACATCTTGGTCGAGTTGATGTGAGAAAAAGTTCCGTTTGGCTCCGAGGCCGGGGAGTGTACGGGGAGTCAGGATGATTTCTTTAAATTCTTCTGTCGTTTTTCTTTTGTCTTTTTATGAATTACAGTAGTGTCGTAAGTGACAGCGTAAAATCCGGTAGCAGTGTCGGTCAGTCGAATAAGTGGTGCGTTAAGTTCTTTGAAAGTTACGAGTATTTGGAACATTTCTGGTTGGTCAATCGGAATTCAAGGGTAAATTTTTTTTTAGTTGAATACGGAAAGTCAGGGGTCTCAAGCGGTCTGATGAAATGGATGATGAGCTAAGTGCAAGTGAAAATGAAGATGATGGCGAATGAAGCGACGAGTAAGATGGAAGTTGTCGTTGAGATGAAGATGATGATGAGGAGTTACTGCCTCTCGCTCTCTGGGACAAGCTCGTCGGGTTCGAGGCAGCGCGGTGCCCCTTGGAGGAGGGGGCATGGGAGTAAAGAGAGGGGAGGGAGCGAAAACGCTTGTATTTTGATAGGAGTGCAGTTACAAAAGAACAGTAGAAACAGAGGCAAACAATTTAAGTCAGTGGTTCCTAGTGACACTCACGGCTTAAAAGCTTCCAATCTAAATACGTAGGGTTGGAGGCTTTGCTGTTAGGTCTACAGTCTCGTCTTAACTGCGAGTCACTCACGGAGAGTTTCGTTTGTACGTAAAAGTGATCGGGACAACCGTCATCAAAGAATAACTAGCCCGTCGTGTAATGGCGGACCTTGTGCAAGTATTTGAAGGGTTGAAACTGTCGGTGTTGTCTTGCAATGACGTCTGGAGAAAATTTGAATCGATTGAAGATCCATGGGTCATGTGCTCTGTTAGTGGACCAGGGTTTGCGAACTTGTTGATGGATTGCTATGCTTAGGGAGGGGGGGGGAATGCTGCATTGTTCGAAAATTATTTGTGAAGGTCGGACAGTGTGCGCTTATGATGAATCGTGATTTTTTTTACTTTCTGCAGTTCGGATTATGAAATTTTGGAGATTGTATGATAAGGTATTAAGGAGTATATAGGGGATGATCTTGAAAATGCGTGGAAAAGGTGCATCTTATGTTGGGAGAGAGGAAGGCATAAATGCCTCCTCTTTCCCAAGATTGCCTCCTTTCTCCCAAGTCTGCCTCCTCTCTCACAAACTTTCACCTTGAGTAGGTTTGTGAGAGCTGTTGCTTTTCTGTCTGATAGCAACCAAGAAGGCAGCGGCTCTCATGGTCGCTGCCTCCAAGGCCACTCCTTTACGCTAAAATTACTGAACATAATTCTTATCCACTAAAAGAGATCTAAAAATTGTTCTGTCGGGAAATGGTGAAAGAAATATAAGGTTTCTTGCAAATTTACCTCAGATTTGCGGCAAGATGCTGAATTCCGGGCCAACATATTGAGCTGATGAAACGCTGTTCGTGATCTACTATAACGTTTTCTGTCTCTCGTTGACCCTATTTGTTCATATTTAAACTTTACAGCGCCTGCTCTGATGCCTTCAGTGACTAAGACCTCTTGCTGGCAGCGGTCGTCTCTTGTTTACTCACCATTCGTAGTTATTTCGTTCACAAGATACAATCATTCTTAACAGCTGATCGGAAGGAAATATAAAGTATATTCCTATATCCTGAGGTTATCGGATGACTTACCATAATCCTTCATAAAATTGTTTGTGAGTTTGTGAGAAACCACATTTTCTACCCACACGTTTTGTCTGGCGTTGGCCGATAATCTCTGCTAGAACTCACCAGCTGGGGCATTCCAGTGTCAGCTCTGCATTCCTGCTCGGCTGACGTCAGCGCCGTGACGACCTGCAACATAAGCAATACTTAAGTCAGCGATACGATGACCTGGAACTTAATCAGATCTACGTCAGGAAGAAGAAATTTCAGGCGTTTTTCAGCAGAATTTCACTTCCATTTAAGCAGAATTCAGAATTTCAGCAGAATTTCACCTCCAAGTCAGGCGGCAGAATTTTATGTGGAGAGTATTTGAAAACTGGTACCTCATTATTCACGGAAATTAAGTAGAAAAGTAGATTAAGGTACAGTCTTTCATGTAAAAATAAAATTATTACGATATCTGTGCACGTCTTTTTTATTCCAAAACATGCCTCGCTTATGGCGATACGGGCCGAAATTCGCAGTGACCAAGGAATTTCTTCCAAGCTACTGAACGGATTTGAACGAAATTTTTATTTTGCATTCCTGACTAACGAACGGTGATGTTTAGCTCGTGAAAAATTCTTCGATTTTGCCTTCGTTCCCGAATTTTTTACCATTACACTTTCATTCGTACTTTAAACAGCAATACGTGCCTAAATTCGCAGTGATTAAGAAACTTATTCCAAACTACTACACAGATTTGAACGAAACCTAATATATAAATACCTAGTCTCAGCAACGGTGACGTTTAGTTCGTGACAATTTTTTCGATTTTGCCTTCGTTGGCGAGTTGTACGGCTATACGTATACGGCTCATGATTAAACCGGCCGGTCGTTTCTCCGCATACCTCGCGAACGAAGGCGAAATAGAAAAAAATTGTCACGAGCTAAACATCACCGTTGCTGAGGTTAGGTATTTATATACAAAGTTTCGTTCAAATCTGTTCAGTATTTTCTGAGAAATTTTTTGATCACCGCGAATTTAAGCGACAAATTACCCGGCGATTCGGACGAATAAAAAACTGTGAGATCAGGAATGACGGTGAAATGAAAAAAAAACTTGCAAACGAAGGCAAAATCGAAAAAAAATTCACGAGCCAAACATCACCGTTTGGTAGTTAGGAATATATATTCTAAATTTCATTCAAATCTGTTCAGTAGTTTAGAAGAAATTCACTGCGAATTTCGGCCCGTATCGCCATATAACTCTCGAATGAAGGTGAAATTTACAAAATTGTCGCAAGCGAAACATCACCGTTAGGTCGTAATGAATACGAGTTCCAAGTTTCATCGGGATGCGTTTATTAGTTTGGGAGATATTCTTTGATAATTGAATTTGGAGATTGGCCATGAGTCCGGCCGTAAATTTGTCCGAAACGTGCTGGGATTTTAGTGCTGCAACAGTTAAATCTGCTAAAAAATATATTGGTTTACTATATGGGGTTCTACTTGTGAAATACACATTTGTGTTTGACCTTTATCTTCTAAAATTGCAGCGTACTAAATATCAAGAAAAAGGCGTTTGTTTTTATATGTGTCTGTGGGAGGGAGGGGGCGCTAGAAATTCACTGGGGAGCCAAAAGGGGTGCCAGCCTGTAAAAGATGGGAACCGCTGTCTTAGACTATCCTAGCAACCTCCACCTGATTTCTTAAACCTGCCCCGTCATCCAAACTGTTGTCCTAAACCTGCCACGCAACTCCCGCCCGATGGCTTAAACCTGACCCGCCGCCCCCACCCGAAGTCTTATACCTGCCCCGCAACCCCACACCCAAAGTCTTAAATGCATCAGCTGGCCCAAATGAGGGCAAATAGACGGAACACGTCCAACGTTACATCCGACGACGACTCGGAGACGGAGGACGACGAAGGCGGCGCATCAGCGTGACCTTGGACTACGACGTCCTAAACTCATCATAAGGTCATAAGGTAAGGTCATAAGTCACACATACATAAAGTTATTTGAATACAATTCTGATGAATCGAATTCATTTGGATCATTCACACTGAATCAGGAATATTTCATTAAAACGCACATCCAGTAAACGAAATTTCGTCCAACCAAACTCTCATATGTTGAACAAAGTTCAAATAAACAACGTGCATCAAACTCAGATGAATCAAGCGTTTACAAAACCAGCTATATGAAATAAAATCAAATATTTATATCATATATACTTGAATCACGTTTTTATTAATCAAACTTATATGCGGCTGAGGCATATGCCAATCATTAACAAATCAAGCAGACTTAAATACAACTTTGGGGGCCCCCATTTTAAAACTTATTTGAATCAAATATGTAACTGAAGTAATATTTATGAACAAAATTTCGTTAATAAACAAGTTTGTATGCAATTCACTACAATCAAATATGAAATAAGCCTAATCTTATTCGCAGCTATTGTGCCCGAGGGCAATTCAACTCACTCCTCGCAAAAGCGGCGGCCGAGCAGGCGATGATGTCCGTCGATGCGCCGCTGCTGTTTAGCTTCACCCAATCAACAGCAAGCAAATTCTTGGGGGCAAATCTGACGTATTCTTTGCCGCCTCCGAGGTCAATGGAGAACAGGTCGCCCACGACGGTGTTGGCGAGAGCGGAGCACGTCGCGAACAAGTTGCTCTTGACGCCACCATCGATCACAAACTGTGTAGTAGGTTCAAGTTCAGGGACAGTAAACAAGTCATGATCAATCAGCAATCCGGCAAGAGCAGAACAAAAAAATGTACAACTGTTGTACAAAAGCAGTGTAACAGGGTGATGGTTGTTTCTATGGTTGTGTGTGTCCATGGTAATGAAGGTGTCGTGAGGGAAGATGTTGATTGTGGATTTGTTGAACGTAATTTTGTCTCTCATCTCAAATCATCAATTCTTTTGGAGGAGTCTAGGTCTTTCAGCGAGAGCTTCGGTACGAATTCGTTCTTTCTCAGTTCTTCAAGGTACGAGCTGTTGTGAGAGACAGCGGGATTGGGTAGGGGTCACTGTTGCATCTAAATAGTCTAAGAGCTATTGATCCCTCTAGTTCCGGCATTGAAATGGGTAATTCTCCGTTTTGATCGTCACTAATTCTTCATTTTCTAGGGTCGCGTTCTTCGAAATGGATTTTGGTTGTCAAGAAGACAGGGACATTCTGAAGGATCTCGTCAAATGTCTGCCCTTCTGCTAAGTTTAGTGATGTGTCGTCGCCTCATGTCGTCGTCGTCAATAAATTTGTTTGGAGGTTGAAGCATGGTGTCCGGAGTGTCGGTCTCAGGTTGTTTGCAAAAAAGTTCAAGGGGGAGGTTCACCCTAAAATTTTCGGATTTGGCATTTTCGGTTTTTAGTATCATCTTATAGCAAACATTCTGCCCTATCGAACGGTACCATTGCGATCCCTGTACGTGAATTTTTACTTACATGACGGCTCTTTAAAGGGGGCGGGTGGGGGAGTTCTTCACTAATTAGATACAAGTTAATTAGCTGCTGAGCATTTTAAATATAGTTTCCACTCGAGTTGTGCTGCAGTTACGTGCTTAGTCTTAAAGCTGACATTCTGAGCTTTTCAACGATACCACTGCGATCCATGTGCGCGAATTTTTACGTACACGGCTGCTCTTTAAATGGGGGCGGGGGGTGGAGTTCCTTCACTAAATAGATGGGAGGTAATTCACTCGCTAAGACTACATATATAGGTGTATCTGGCATCAAGGCTCAGTCACCCTGTTCGCTTCGTACGGAGAGGTGTACTGCAAGTCGCTGCTAGCATCCTTGAGTGGAATTAAGCTACAGAAGCCTGTAGTTTGGTCTCCATGCTAAATTGAGTGACTATTTCAAGGCGCGTGGAACGTTGTCGCGCCGTCCTGCAAAGTTCAACTTTTTGTCACAGAAAACCTATCTCCTCCTGGAGTTTTGAAGCTACAGCGATGAGACATATACCATTGTATTCGTAAAGACCATATCTATCGAGTAACGAAGCCCCTTTTTTAGATTTATGCATAGTTTGGATTCAAAATGGGGGGAAGGGGGGGGAGGAATGAGAAATAATAATGAAAAAAATTTAAATGCGTAAAAAGAAAAAACTAAGGCAAAAATCGAAACTCGGATTTCGTTACTCGATTGGTATGGTCTTTACAAATAGAATGGTATACGACTCATCGCTGTAGCTTCAAAACCCTAGGAGGAGATAGATTTCTCTAGTACCCCTTTTTTTGTTCATTTTCTATGAATTTCACATTTTCTATCAATTTTTCCGAAAAAATCACACGGACAAAAATGTCTTAGGATTCTATTTTACATATGTGTACCAAGTTTCAGAGTGATCCGTCCGTAAACAAAAAAGTTTTTCCGGAAGGTGAACCTCCCCCTTAATATTTTGGCGGAGTCTCTGTCGTAGTTGGTCTTCAATGATTTGGATAGTATGCTGTCGCACCCCTCCTGTCGAGAGAGGCTGGCGATATGTGCTTCGAGTATTTTGCTGTCAGTTTTACTTATGTCTTGTCAGGCAGCGTCAGGTTATGTCGAGGTATGTTGTTTGTTGGATCGCATGTTTTGCTATGCATACATATGTTTAATTTGTGTTGTTTTTTATTGTTTCTTGTTGTGATTGCAGTTTGCATTGTATTTTTTGTTAACGGTAGGGACGGTTTGCGGCTAGAATGTGGCAGTTTAGACATTTCTTGTAGGTGTTAGTGCATTGGCGATTGGCGGCTCATTCAGAGCAAGAGGGAGTGGTCATCTATTTTGTAGCATTTATACCAGATGAGTAGGTGTGTGTAGTATTCTTGTTCGCATTGTAATGTTTTTTAGTGTTGTATATGTAAATTCCATTTGTGAGTTTGCTTTGGGCTACTGTGGTGTTTGTGGCAATTATTTTGATAAAGTTGGTGCAGTGTTTGATTTTAATGACGTCCTGTGTGTGTAACAAAGTCTGTTGAATAGCAATTTCATGTTTGATTTCGTCAGCGGCGTGGTTTCCTACTTCTTGGTCGAGTTGCTGTGATAAAAAGTTCCGTTTGGCTCCGAGGCCGGGGAGTGTACGGGGAGTCAGGATGATTTCTTTAAATTCTTCTGTCGTTTTTCTTTTGTCTTTTTATGAATTACAGTAGTGTCGTAAGTGACAGCGTAAAATCCGGTAGCAGTGTCGGTCAGTCGAATAAGTGGTGCGTTAAGTTCTTTGAAAGTTACGAGTATTTGGAACATTTCTGGTTGGTCAATCGGAATTCAAGGGTAAATTTTTTTTTAGTTAAATACGGAAAGTCAGGGGTCTCAAGCGGTCTGATGAAATGGATGATGAGCTGAGTGCAAGTGAAAATGAAGATGATGGCGAATGACGCGACGAGTAAGATGGAAGTTGTCGTTGAGATGAAAATGATGATGAGGAGTTACTGCCTCTCGCTCTCTGGGACAGTTACTGCTCTCTGGGACACCTTGCTCGGTGGTTCGCCTTCCGTGGCGCAAGGGGAACTCGCCCGGGGCCGGCAGCTGTTGGCCCCTGGAGCGGCAAAGGATCCACCAGGGGGCGGGGGGCAATGTGGGATCAAGCCACAAGGGGAGATGCTCAACACCCCCCCGCTCACAGCAGAGGAAGAAGGGAGTAGCCGCCCCGGACCCCTCTTTAAATACTTTCGAGGCGAGGGCCCCTCGGGGGCCCGCATCGGTACCTGCCGGACGGTGTCGAGCCGTCTTGGACAGGCTGGCAGCAGTCCTTAGGGTGATTGGACTCCGGTCCATTAGAGGGGGTGGAGGGGAGTGGGAGAGAGGCGAAGAGAAGAGAGGAGGGAAAGGCGTCACGAGAGTCGGAGGAGGAGGAGGAGAGATCGAGAGGGAGAGGATGACGTTGTGAATGGAGGTGTGGATGGGAGGCAAAGGAGTGAGAGAGTGATTGTGACGTGGAATGTGCAGAGATTGTCTATGAGAGAGCATAATAGGAGGCGTTTGAGGAGAGTGATAGAGAAGATTGTGAGGAAAGGGTGGGAGATTATTTTGTTGAGTGAAATAAGTGCGGATGATGAGGCTGTGTTGTGGCTGGGAGAGGATGAGGAAAGAGTGGCGGTGGTACATGGGAAGAAGTCGGCTGTGGTTTTGAGGGGTGAGGCGTTAGAGGTGTGGGTGGGAGAGGGACAGAAGAGATGGCTTGAGGAGAGAGTGACTGCGGTGGTGCTGGGAGGGTTGCGTCTGGTAACAGCTGATCGGAAGGAAATATAAAGTATATTCCTGTATCCTGAGGTTATCGGATGACTTACCATAATCCTTCATAAAATTGTTTGTGAGTCTGTGAGAAATCACATTTTCTACCCACACTTTTTGTCTTGCGTTGGCCGATAATCTCTGCTAGAACTCACCTGCTGGGGCATTCCAGTGTCAGCTCTGCATTCCTGCTCGGCTGACGTCAGCGCCGTGACGACCTGCAACATAAGCAATACTTAAGTCAGCGATACGATGACCTGGAACTTGATCAGATCTACGTCAGCGATGCGACGACTAGCAACACAATACGGGTCTACATCAGTACAGCGACGACCTGCAACACAATCAAGGTCTACGTTAGCACAGCGAAAACCTGCAACACAATCAAGGTCTATATACGTCAGTATAGCGACGACTTGCAACACAATCAAGGTCTACGTCAGTATAGCGACGACCTGCAACACAATCAAGGTCTACGTCAGCACAGCTACGACCTGCAACACAATCAAGGTCTACGTCAGCACAGCGACGACCTGCAACACAATCAAGGTCTACGTCAGCACAGCTACGACCTGCAACACAATCAAGGTCTACGTCAGCACAGCTACGACCTGCAACACAATCAAGGTCTAAATCAGCACAGCTACGACCTGCAACACAATCAAGGTCTACTGACCTGCAACACAATCAAAATCTACGTCAGTACAGAAACGACCTGCAACACAATCAAGGTCTACGTCAGTACAGCGACGACCTGCAACACAATCAAAGTCTACGTCAGCACAGCGACGACCTGCAACACAATAAAGGTCTACGTCAGCACAGCGACGACCAGTAACAAAATCAAGGTCTACGTAAGTACAGCGACGACCTGCAGCACAATCAAAGTCTACGTCAGCACAGCGACGACCAGTAACACAATCAAGGTCTACGTCAGCACGGCGACGACCTGCAACACAATCAAGTCCTACGTCAGCACAGCGACGACCTGCAACACAATAAAGGTCTACGTCAGCACAGCGACGACCTGCGACACAATAAAACACAATCAAGGTCTACGTCAGCACAGCGACGACCAGTAACACAATCAAGGTCTACGTCAGTACAGCGACGACCTGCTACACAATCAATGTCTTAGGGCGAATGGGTTTTTCATTGTTCACGGCTCCCAGCGATGGGTTTTTCCACCCAGATCTGGGTTTTCGAACCTCTCCTGGGTTTACGTCTCGGACAAATTTACGGCCGGACTCGCGGCCGGTCTCACAGCTAATTAAAAGATCCAATGATCAAGGAATATCTCCCAAACTAATGAACGTAACTCGATAAAACTTGGTACACGTATTCATTAGGACCTAACGGTGATGTTTAACTCGTGAAATTTTTTTGAATTTCACATTCATTCGTGAGTTACGAGGCATGTTTTTTAAGTAAGGACCGTTTTGGAATTAAAAAAGACTTGCACCTGTATCGTAATAATTTTATTTTTACATGAAAGCCTGTACCTTAATCTACTTTTCTACATAATTTTCGTGAATATTGAGGCACTTGTCATAACGTGGCACCAGTTTTTGAATACCCTCCTGATAAAATTCTGCCGCCTGACTTGGAGGTGATATACTGCTGAAATTCTGACTTCTGCTGAAATAGAGGTGAAATTTCGCTGAAAAACGCCTGAAATTCTGCCGCCTAACTGGTCAGGAAGAAGAAATTTCAGGCGTTTTTCAGCAGAATTTCACCTCTATTTAAGCAGAATTCAGAATTTCAGCAGAATTTCACCTCCAAGTCAGGTGGCAGAATTTGATCTGGAGAGTATTTGAAAACTGGTACCTCATTATTCACGGAAATTAAGTAGAAAAGTAGAATAAGGTACAGTCTTTCATGTAAAAGTAAAATTATTATGATATCTGTGCACGTCTTTTTTATTCCAAAACATGCCTCGCTTATGGCGATACGGGCCGAAATTCGCAGTGAACAAGGAATTTCTTCCAAGCTACTGAACAGATTTGAACGAAATTTTGATTTTACATTCCTAACTAACTAACGGTGATGTTTAGCTCATGAAAAATTCGTCGATTTTGCCTTCGTTCCCGAATTTTTTTTCATTTCACTTTCATTCGTGATTTAAACAGCAATACGTGCCTAAATTCGCAGTGATTAAGAAATTTATTCTAAACTACTACACAGATTCGAACGAAACCTAATGTATAAATACCTAATCTCAGCAACGGTGACGTTTAGTTCGTGACAATTTTTTCGATTTTGCCTTCGTTGGCGAGTTGTACGGCTATACGTGTACGCCTCATGATTAAACCGCCCGGTCGTTTCTCCGCATACCTCGCGAACGAAGGCAAAATAGAAAAAATTTGTCACGAGCGAAACATCACCGTTGCTGAGGTTAGGTATTTATATACAAAGTTTCGTTCAAATCTGTTCAGTGTTTTCTGAGAAATTTCTTGATCACCGCGAATTTAAGCGATAAGTTACCCGGCGATTCGGGCGAATAAAGAAGTGTGAGATCAGGAATGACGGTGAAATTAAAAAAAAAACTCTCAAACAAAGGCAAAATCGAAAAAATTTTCACGAGCCAAACATCACCATTTGGTAGTTAGGAATGTATATTCAAAATTTCATTCAAATCTGTTCAGTAGTTTAGAAGAAATTTACTGCGAATTTCGGCCCGTATCGCCATATAACTCTCGAATGAAGGTGAAATTTACAAAATTGTCACAAGCGAAACATCACCGTTAGGTCGTAATGAATATCACCCGATGTCTTAAGCCTGCCCCGCAACCGCCACCCGATGTCTTAAGCCTGCCCCGCAACCCCCACCCGATGTCCTAAGCCTGCCCCGCCACCCACCAGCCCGAGGAAGATCACCGCGCAGGCTTTGGACGCGTCTTTCATGGCTACGGCGTTGCGGTCCGGGGGGGCGTGAGGAGTTGATGAAGAAGGAAAGGGCGAATCACGAGGCGACGTCAGCGTACACAACTTCCGTGGAATATGTCCTGAGGGAAAGAAGAGGATAACATTCAATGCAATAAAATACCGTGTAATCGATTAGGGCACACATTGTCCAAACTCCAATGCTTTAGAGATCTCTTTGCACAGCGAGCAAAATTTTATGCATGTCAACATTTCCATTCCAAAAACACAAAATTAAATAAAATCAGGACCACTAATTCTACACCGCACTTAATGAACCATAACTTCGCATAGCAAGTCATTTAAAATAAAGAATAACTACCATTCAGCATTTGAGACACGAGCAAACACAGCTCGTCGAGCCTAGTTTCCAGTGCAAGGGAATACCGGCAGGGGAATAAGGAATAAGTTTCTTTTGCTGGTTAAGCAGGTTATTTCAACTCAGAAAAGTCATATATGTATATTATGCGATAGAAAAGGAATTTATTTATATATATAAATATTTGACCAAGATATCATGTATTAGAGTTTAGGGAATTTTACTTCATTAATTTAAGCTTCAATCACCCTTGACACATGACCTTATGTGTTACTCTTATCTCTGGCGAAATAATAATTGCAGTCAAGACACAATCAGAAGATAATTCATCAATATACCCAGTTCAAAATTTTAAACATTCGATCTGTACATGATTTTGATTGCAACTTTCCTTCTTTCTTCAAATCTCAATTGTAAGATTGAAGCTCGATTCAGAATCACCCACCGTCCAAAGACCGTTCTTATTGATAATTATTGGAGTATTGGACGTCACCGTCGTCACTTATGAATTGCATCAAATGTAACAGCAACGTTAACTTCGTCCTCTCCTAATGAATACCTCGAAATACAAGTCACAAATGCCTGAGATATCATCCCACTTGGGCACGCGTAGACCGTGTGGTCTCATCTAGGCCGCGTAATATATTGTGATCATGAATTTAATATGCGTGCAGGCCTAGCGTATGAATAGAAATGCGTACAATCATCTCGAGCAAAGAATTTGGTTCGAGTTTCATTCTTATACTATGTATATAATATAAACCACGAAAAAAATAATATATTTTATTGGTATTTCATTCCTTTAAAATTGATTCCACGAAACATAAAAATAAACTAATCTAAAACCATTTATCGCCGCCTTAAGTAGTACATTTCGATCAAAGTTAGACACCCACGTAACAAATTCTTTTATGAGCTTTCCCTCTCTCAACTAGGAAAGACCCCACATCAACCTTCTTTCTTCTGTACACCAAATATCCTCAGAAACCAACACATACAGTGAACGGTTACTATTTTGTCTTTAAATTAAAATCAAGTTGACTTAAACAGCTTATTTTTAGTGTTAAATATAAATCCAATGACTGTAAGAGTGAAAGTACTTTCTCACCTGTTCACTGCAGCTTTTCAGCTCTGCACTCAACTGCGCTATCGAGAAAACTGATCAGACCTCGAATGTGAGCAATTGTCTTGAGGGTTGGCAAGTGGTGGGCGGTACAAACAGTTAAACAGGTGCGCTGCAAGTCGACGTGTACTAACATTCATTATGTTAGTATACGTAGACTTCGATTCTATAATATTATTCGAACGAGGAGACGTTACTACTTTTTCCGAATAAGAACTAAAAAAAGATTCTTTACTGGCGGGGATCAGCAAAACGATGCCATTGTAATATGACTTTCACGTGACTTAATAAAAATATGGTCTTTTTCTGTGTTAGTTCGTTTCTTTTTCTATTTTATTGATCGGAGATAACGTTGTGCATGGACACTTTTTTCTGCTGAGAGATTGTGAATGGAAACATCACCAGCCGGATTTTATTATTAGTGAAAATGTATATTTAAAATTGGTACATTCATAAGTGCGATTTAACAAACACACTACATAGAATCCCAATTCCACGTGTAACTCCGTTCATATGCTTCAAATGGCGATGTTCGGCATCTATTCACTACAATACTGCGTACACTTGCTGCATGCGTAAGAAGAAACTTCTTTGTTCTAACAAAGAAGCTCGTTGCATGTGTCGGAAAGATAAAAAGAACACGTTTCAATTTTCGTTACACCTGCGCTTCGTGCTCAGGTTGAGGCTCCTCCCTCAGCTCGTTCCTGAGAGCAACGAGTGCAGCCACGCTCTTGTAAAGCATCAGGTCGGTCTAACTCTATAACATTTATTAATATTATGAACATAAATAATCGATTATATCCAATATTGAATCATTATTCATAAATTTTTTGATATATGTAACCAATCCTCCAACAACATTCGAAGGCTGAGGTCGTTTCTATATAGCGCCACTTCGACTTATTTGAAAAATCGAAGCAAATGTTATCAAACAAACTTGGTCTCAACTAGCACCAGAGCTTGATTTTGAACCTGAATTTAGTTTGATTGAGAAGTTATGCATATCGAAGAACGTTGATAATGATGAAATATTGATTTATATGTAGTTCGTAAGAAGTGCGAAGCAAATTTATGTATTGAACACTGGCAGTTTAACCTAGTATTGCTTGAGACTTGTTCCACCTGAGCTTTAATAATCCTTGTATTGCATCAGCTTTCATCGCTTTAATCGTTATATAATTAATGCGCTAATAATGTTTTTAAATGAGCTTTAGATTAAAATAATAAATTTCAAATAATATATGAGTTTTCGCATATAACCCTCATCCTTCATTTTGCAATGCATCATGAAGGAGCTGGACGACAAATAGTGACAAGTCAGTGGAGCTGAAAGACATGTAAATAGTGTAAGTCATGAAAAAAATTCAGGTCTATGAATAATGGAAGGACCAGCATCATGCATCAAAGTGGAAGTACAGAAAAGGCTTTAAAATGTTTCTTAACAAACTCGAAATATTTTTTGAACAAAAGAAGTGAAGTGTACCCTGTGATCGCAAACTAGTATATAGAAGTTATTTATAGCAACTCGTGAGATTAATGACGAGAGATTTCATTGATTAAGATTTTCTGGGTTGAACAATTCTTACAATGGACGTTACTGGATCGGAAGGCATGTTTCAAGAAGTAATTTTAATATTTTAACGACGTTTCGAATGAAACAACATTCATTTCCAAGTTATAGGAAGCGTTGAATAATGTATTTGTGATGAAAATAAGTAAATGATACAAGTTAATATGGCACAACACAAAAATTTGGAACCAGAAAATAACTCTGAAACAATCTCAAAGTTCAGATAATCCGGTAGTTTAGAGATTGATAGCTGGAGTCCAATGCGTAGAGATGAGGGCTTCAGTTATCGTCGGTCGGATGATGTCGGGTCACTGCAAGATGGCGATGCTGGTGGGTTCCTCCAGCACGGTGGTAGTGACGGTCTCGTTGAGTTTGATGTTGTCAAGAGTGTCACGAAGCCTGTTGCTCAATTTCGTAGTTGTTACTCCAATGCAGTCCAACTAATGGAGAAGTCTACAACCTTCTTTGAAGCTAAATTTATAGACTGCACCAGACTCTTGGAGAACACCCACTTATTTTGCAAGAGCCGTTGCTGCGTGTAGTTTGGGTTTTGATTTTCCGTCAAGGGCGTTACGGAGCCTTTTGAATTCATCGCGAATATTGAGATGAAGTTGCTCCATTGTAATACTTTGAGACCTGGTCTGACTGCGAACTTGTCTCAGGTAGCAAGATAAACGGCTGCTCAATGCCGTAATAGTTACTCCAATTTCTCCAATGTAGTCCAAATGTTGAAAAAGTCTGCCACAACCATCGTTGAAACAAAATTCATAGACATCACTCGCTTTTTTGCAGGGGCGTTGCTGTGTATCATCGTGGCGCACACGCCGCCGCAGCCACTACACAAAAGCCGTTTGTGATCGTAAAGCTTTGGAAGCACGCGTCTCATTGAAGGATACAAATAAGCACGGGTAATTCAAGACCGTAAACTCAGACGCTTTACACATGAGACACTGTACGCGAGACTTCTCTATTCGACTTCCACTACTTGACTTTCACTACCCGACTAACTCCTATCTAAATATTCTACCTAACGAGACGTTCTTCTCGAAGAACCACTTGCTTAGTTCATAAGTATAACAATTATTATGAGAAAAATACTATCAAACCAAATGAAGAAAATTAAGGATGAGCTCACAAACGTCAGAGAAGCAAAGATAAATACATATTCAAACAAATGAATATTTTACGGTATGGAGATCATAACATCTCCCCCACCAAGAGTCGGATACGGCCTTAATAATTACACGGAATGTGTGATACATCCATTATATATGAAAACTTGTACACGTGTTCAACGTAAATAATTACTAACCTAATATTCACAACTGTTATACACACACTACTGCACTTTTAGGTACGCCCTCAGTGAGTTCCCCAGCGAACATCAACACTACAATACGAGATACACACAAAAAAGTAGGTTCAACGAGATTAAAAAAATTTAACTTAGCTGTCGAACATTAACGAGAATATAGGATAAATTTGCCTGGTCTATTACATTCATTAACAATAATCTCCGGCCTTAGTATATCAACAGAGGTTAACATTGAGCAGTGGTTCCCAAAGTAGGCGGTGAGGAAGAAATGGGTGGTAGGGGGGCGAGAGTCGAAGTCGGAAGTTCGAAGGTTTGTTTGACGATTTGTTCACAACACATGCAGCACACGGCTCCCAGCGGGGCGCATGCCGGAGACCAGCTTTGCCAAACTTCACACTCTCTTCATATACCTTTCCGTAGGTAAGAACGCTAGAGGGCATAACAGCCGATGAAGTCAATTGCTCAAAGCCATAGCGCTGGATGTCCACAGCCACATAATAAGCTTGCTAAAGGTAAGCATGGCAATATTGCATCTGGCCAAGCCTCTTCAGGCCTAACCTACACATGTTGCAACATTTCTCCACCCAAAACAAACCTCAGTGGGCCTAACATAACCTCATTGGCTGCAGGAAGTTAGAAAGGCGGTCCAAGTGTGCTGGTTCAGCCAGACATAGGCTGTAAGGGTACGCACACAGTGAAAGCAGGTTGCCAGCGTGCTGGTTACCTGCTCAGGCTGGCGCCCGAAACCATAGAATA